GTGAATATTGAAGAGGTGAAAAATGATAAATTGAAGAAAATAAGGAAATATTGACACGAAGACATGAAAACTTGAAACAAAGAATTAGATAAATAAAACTACAATGTTTTTTTCATGATTACATCAATGATTGTACATTCTTGAAATAAGAAGTTAACCTAAAAAATAATATCTAATTATATTTATTATATTTTAGTAATATGTTGATAGATGTATATTTGTTAAGGGTGAGTTAGAAAACCCCAAGATGGATAATATGAACTTCATGATTAAATAAAGACGTTGTACAATACATGCAAAGACCACGACAATGGAAAATGATGATGAACAGGTGCCCTCTTGTAAACCTATGCACGCAGCAAGAGCTGTAACAGTTGCAAAATGTAATGATGGAAAGCCATCAATGTTCGAACCAAATATTAGCCCAATATCCACCTCACAAGAACCTGTTACAATACACCAAAAAAGTAAAGGTAAAGTTTCACTATATTTTAAAATGCATTTGTACTTTCACCGTTTAAGTAATTTAGTAAGTTAATTGTTTGTGTAAACCATGAGAGTCTCAATGACTATTATTATATTAAATCAATAAATTACTAAACTATCATTATTTCGATTTAGCGACTTAACTATTCTTATTATATCAAATATGAAAAAATAATTGCTAAACATATAAAGAGTTAAAATTTAAGTTTTGTTTCTGCATTATGCCTTTTGATCAACAGATTTTGTCAATAGGTAACTACTTAAACCTTGTGTGTATCTCACCTGATTAATTGTAGAGTAAGCTGCAAGAAAGTCAAGAAAGATACTTGCTTGCCTTATGGATTCCAAATAACTGACCCTCTTCTATTAAGTCAACATATCTATATATTAAAAAAGCTAGATTATCCCATGATAAGATTTTCAGAAAATTGTAATCACAACCTTCTTTCTCCTCTTCATTTGAATACCTAGTTTTGGAATTTCCACATTTTTTGAATTTATATCTTTTTGTTTTTGCTATCTTCATTAGATGAACACTATCTTTCATACTTCATTGTCCTTATTTTACCTCGTTCTAACAGTTAATCCACTCGATACTTTCCATATATTTTAGGCTTAGTAGGGTAATTTGGGAACTAGAAGACCTGTTCTGAATATGCACCCATCATTTTCTAGTAGTCCCATTTACACAAGATGTAAGTGGTTTATAACAGGACTATACATCCTTCCTATTCTTCTCGACAAGGGGGAACTACAATGAAGAAATAGACTAAACATAAGTAGATTAAATGACCTAGCACAAATGCATAATTTGAATTCAATAACAACCATAAGAAGAACTTTGTGTAATTAATGTTTTCTTATTATTAAACTATTGTACTTTCAAAGTATAAGTCTTAAATAAGAGTAGAAAAAACAAAATTAAATTAAATTAAAAAAGTTAGGAAATAGAACTAAAATTTAGATGTTCTAATAACACTACAAATGAAAGTGCATTCTATTTCACTATGTAATTCTTTTGTTTGCTTAACAATTGAGATTCCTAATGGGTATTGAAGCCTCTGAATGCCCACATCCCACTTTTAACACCTTTAGCATTAGTCAAACACCCATTAATTGTAGGAACTGCGTGAAACCCTCCTTGTTTCCTTTGTACAGAAGGGAAAACAACTGGAACTTGTAGAGAACTCATTATGCCTATTACCAAAGGCAAAAGCCAAAGATACCAACAATCAATGAATAGACTAATACAATTAAAAAAGTAATCAACTCTTAGCATATAAACTACATGTAACAACATATACTTGTCATTTTCCCTCTTCATTTGGGAGATCTGACTTTCATTGCTTAATCAGAAAAAACCAAAAATTAACATCAAGATTCAAGACATCCTTGAAGAAACAAAGGACATAGTATGAGCAATTTGGATTATAATTAGTATGATTAGGAGACGACCTTCGTTTTCTAGTGAATAATGTAGATTTTCGAGTTGGAGAGAACATAAGAAGGATGATGTCAACATCACATAATACAGATAACTCATTGGTTTTCTTTAAGATTCCATTCCTTCGTTTAGAAAAACATCACTTTGCGATTACCAATGTTTTCTAATCTCTTGATTTTCAGCTTCACTCTCCCCATACTGCAATAAATGAAAACGTTCAGATAAAAAGATGAGAAATTAAACATATATTTGGTATTATATCGTCAGAATTGTTTATATCGTCAGAATTGTTTATAATGAAATTCTTTCAAGAAAATTATGACCCAATTGATGCCCTATAAATGAACGGAAGCCATGTTGATAAGTATCAGCATAGAGGAAGAAATTGAGAGAAATCAAAGTAAGCATGACAATTCTGATGCAATCAGAACTCGAGCTAGGCAAAAAATGATGTTAAATCCGTGAATAAATTGAAATGATCACAAAACGAAGAGAGAGAAGTAAAGGAAGGGCTTACAGTTCTGCTACGATTGTCGTGAATCAGTGTACAATGGAAGTGGAAGTACTAGATTATTAAGGAATTGAACCAATGAGTGCTTGTAGATGGTGGTAACAGAGGAGCAACGATGGTTGAAGGCCATGATTTCTCCGGTTGCTTTCCAGATGATCGGTTATTTATCTCTCACTCTCCCTCCAAAACCTGTTTGGTATGAATATTGGTGAAATTACCTTCACAAATTAGTCTTATATAAGACTCATAGTACGAAAACTGTAAGAATGTGGGAAGGAGGTTGAGAAGGAGAGTCTCCAATAGGTCGGGATATGGCGGTTTCTAGGTTGACGAAGAAGATGGAGTGGAGAGCATTCAATTTCGTGGGTTGTCGCCATCGGTTGTGGAAGCCAAGAAGAAACGGTAAATAATGAACATGGGGGAGAAGAAGTAGGAATAGGGGAAGGAGCTAAAGACGGAAGGCAGCCTCCTTCCGATTAACATTACGGTTGAGATTGAAAGATGAGAGTTTAAAAAGCTAAGATTTAGTGGACGGTTTTCTACTCACCAACAACAATATTAT